GTAATAAATCTACTTGATGTGAAATATGTGATTAACTCCTCCCTCTCAGTTTCTTTGTTTCTGCCTGGTTTTGTCACAAAGCTGGGTAAAATGAAGAGTYCATGTGTTTGTAGGCCCGGACCCGGTACGAGGAGAGCATCAGCAGCCAGCTGGAGTGGAAGCAGATCCACCACCTGTGTTACTGGGAGCTGATGTGGACTCACTCCTTCCAGCAGGAATGGCAGCAGGCGTACCAGTACGCCGACCTGCTGTGCAAAGAGAGCCGCTGGTCCAAGGTAAGCTCAGTGTTCTGAGCTGCTGCTTCTCCAGATGATACTGGTTCTGGTTCTAAGGTGCTCCCCTCACCTGTCGCTGATCTCCACAGGCCATCTACGTGTACCAGAAGGCAGCCATCCTCAGCATGATGTCAGAAGAAGACGTGAAGAAGACCGGGGAGGACCTGGTGGAGCTCTTTAGGTCTGTTTCTCTCCATATTTCAAAATAAACCATGTGTAGCCTTAATCTTTATACCAGAATGATCATTTTACTAATAGCTTAGCTTCAGAGTTTAGGTAAATAATCATTAAAAATACATATTTAATTTACTTAAGTCTATTTMAAATTAATCAAAAATGTCAAAATTGATTATTTTAGTCATCACATTGTGAAGGATTATMTAAAATTTGGAGAGCATTTTTGGAAAGCATTGTTTTTGTTTCGTTTTCGAACTTTTTTAGAAAATATCTTCCAGTTTTTTATTAAACCCACTCAAGTGTATTTGTGTGCAGGCAGGTGGAGGGACTGAAGCAGCGCCTGGCAGGAAAGTCCATCCCCATGGAGAAGTTCGCAGTGAGGAAGTCCAGACGCTACAAAGCTGCTAACCCCATTCCTCTGGTCATCCCTGCTCTGGTACTAACATTTTTACTCTAAACCCAGAGCACCGCTCACCACGGTGAAACAACAGGTTCATGTAGTTTTTGTTTTTCGCAGGAGATGATGTACGTTTGGAACGGCTTCACCATCGTTGGAAAAAGATCRGACCACACCGAGTCTCTGCTGGTTACCATAGAGAGAGCTGAGCAGCAGCTGCGCAGTGARTCCAGTAAGAACAATAACACTGGTAACATTGGGCCTCATGCAAGATCATGGTCGTATTCTTCTCCTAAATTTCTCTTACTTTTGTTCGTACAAAGGGTTCGTACGAACATGCCACGTCAGATTCAACAAACTCTTCTATCTTCATGAAAAGTGTGTAAATGAGCTGTGTAAACTGATGAATGTGTATCAGCTGCTCGTGCACGAGGAGAGGAGATTAGCATAATTAGCATAATTACCACCGCAAAAACACCATATAAGGATATGTTTCCTGCCCCACATACCAGGAAGTGTCCATTCATAAATGACATCACAAAGGAAAAAGAAACACTTCACGAGCTCAGAGATGGAAGTCCTGCTCTCAGAGATCCAGAAAAAAAATCTGTCATTTTTAGCAGGTCAGCTGTGGAATTAAAGGATCTGCTTTAAAGCCGAGGAATGAAATGACTGCTGTTAATGTTGTGTCTCCTGTGGGTCGTTAGTCACAGAAATAAAAATCTAAATCATATTCATTCCTCTCTAGTCCTGCTCCGGTTTTTCTTTGGTCAAATATTTTTAATTTAAGTGTAAACAACTGTGTTAAATAATTCTCATTTATTCAGAAAAAGAGCAGTTGTGCACAGCTACCCCC